CAATCCACGACAAGTTTTAATATCGCCGCTGAAGCCGATTGTGACGTCGAAACCTCACGAGACTATAGGCGTAGATGTTTTGGAATTAGGGCCCATTAAAGTGGTTCAAAGCTTGCATCCGCCTATCCTCTACCGCATAAGTCAGCACAGACAGTAGCAAAAACCATTTCCCTAAGGTGAGCGGAAGGCAGACCATCTTTCCTGACAAGGGAGGTGAGGTGATTGATCCATTGTTTGGGTCGAATGTAATCTTGAATGCGCTTTTATCATGGTACTATGCGGACAAGGCGCTGGATGAGGTAAGGCGGAAAAACTGTAGGCGATAGCTGAATGAGAGAGTGAAGGAACATAACGATAGAATAAGAGAAAAAAGGGTTTATGATAAGCATTATGATGTGGGCAAGAATACCCAGAAGTCGGAAACGAGTATACGTGTTTGCACCTAACGAAAAGACTAGAATTTCTACCGTCAGTTGCTAGGTGTGTAGTCAGGGTATTTTAGGGTTTCTGCATTAGTAACTAGAATTGGAGAAAATGCAAAACCAATGAGAATTTAATTTGAACAGTTGAAACTAGTCTGATGCAATAGGTGGCGAAAACGGACGTAGAAGTAGAAAACGACGTTCGAGTAAGTATGCTCAGAAGGAGCGGTTTTAGAGGAGCATAGCCTATTGAGCAGCTGATGTCGGCCATTTGCAATGTCAATGCATCTGTTTTGCCAACGTAACGTTTGGAAGAATCGAAGGTCCAGGAGCAACCGCAAATAGACAACTGGACAACATGGTAAGCAGCCGGCACTTGTATACGGTCGGATCTAAGTGTGAAAGAAAAAATTTAGCGCTACAGGGAAAGAGTACCCTGCTTTTGAAATCTGGATTGTTCTTTATCCCATAGCTACGAGAACTGACAAAAGGAGTGTTGAGGATGAGGTGAATACGAAGAACTTCTTGCAAGAAAGAGGTTGAGTGGTCACTGCCCGGACGCCGATTGCGGCAAACAAGGAAAAGTGCCTAAGCACCGGGAAGCCTTGAATTACAGTCGTATATCTTTTAAAGTAGTGTGCAGCCGCTGTGCTGCTTTGTGCACGGGCGGTGAAACGAAGGTAGGTTTGCCTTTCTCATATGCGACGTTTGCAAGTGAAACTCAGAGGGGAGGGGAGTGGAGATCGAAGACTAGCTAAAGGCTGAGGAAGTGTTTGGTCGGATAGACATATGACCACCAATCTTGCCCCGCTTTAGGCCTCTGAAGACGATGATTAGTCGAAACTTAAGGTCACTGATAATAAAGATCTACCACAAAACCTCGTATTGGCGTAGAACATACTGAAATCTCTGCC